TCTCTCTCTGTCTTTCTGGTGAGCACAAGCGCCGTATAGCAAAACCTCTAAAAAAAAAAAACAACAGGTGGTTAAATTGTGGGTACTGGAGTTTGCATGTGTCCCCCCCAAAATTCATATGATTGACTGAAATTCGGTTGTAAAGAGACTATAAAAACTGAGAATTAAATTTGCTGATGGGATTACGAGACGGGCTTTGGGAGGTACTGTTGATTGAGGCCATTAGGGCGGGACACCATGATTGAGTTCTGGCCACTATAAAGACGCGTGCCTGCTCTCTGCCCTGTGAAGTCCTGTTTCGCCTCACACTCTATAGACTCCCACCCACAAGAAGACTTGCGAGATGCAGTACCTGGACCTCGGATCTCCCAGAGAGGTAAACCAAACATCTATTCTTTATGAGTTATACAGGCTCAGAGGTCTCTGCTACTGACGACACGTGGACGGAAGCAGTGCGTGTGTCAGGACTACCGAGGGTTGTAGCACCGCGGTTTCTCTCTTCAGTGGAGACGGGATTTTATCATGATTATGACTTTGCTGTTCAGTATCTCTTAGGGAGTCATAGCATAGTGGAGACATTTTCAGGCATGGAAATCAAATTCTGAGTAGCAAAATCCATGTTTTAGAAATAATGTTTTTACAGGGCCAGCAGATGGCATAGCGGTTATGTCTCTGGACTCCCACCTGGCAGACCATGATTCGAGTCCTGGACCTGGTGGCTTGAAGCTGACACTGGGCAAGTGTGGGCCCAATACCCCAGGAGGAGAATGGAGAAGTGATTAAAGCGTGGTCATCCCCACCTACCCCCGGGGGGTGATTTCTCACTTTCCTTCTCACTGTCTCCATCTCTTTCTGGTGAGCACATGTGCCCTATAGCAAAAACTTCTAAAAATAGGGGCCAGCAGTTAGCATAATGGCTATGTCGTTGGACTCCTCTGTCGTTGACTGTGATTTGTGTCCCGGACCCCGTGGCTTAAAACTCACGCCAGGCGCGTGTGCGTGCGTGCCCAAGATCCCAAGAGAATGGAGGAGAAGGGATTGTGGAGTGGCCATCCACCCGGGGGGTGATTTCTCGCTTTCTATCTCTCTGTCTCTGTCTGTCTGGCGACTGCACGCGCTCTATAGCAAAAACCTCTCCAAAAAAAAAAATAAAGAAAAAAGAAAAAAAATCTTCTAAAAATAAGAAATAGTGTTATAATAAGATGACTTCTTTTTGTTTAACGTATTTATTTTCTTTTCTCTTTTTTAAAATCCTGAATAGTACATGTGCATGCCAGATAGAGGAGGAGGAGGGGGAGGAGAGAGAGAGAGAAAGAGAGAGCCCTCCAGTGCTCCAGTGGGGCCTGGTCATGCTGCAACTTCCTTTCCCTCCATTTCTCCTTCCCATCATGATCCCAGGCATGTGCATACATGTGTCATTGGATTTGGGACCTTGAACCTTATTAAGCCATGTAGGAGTCCAACAGTGTAACCACTATGCCACTGGTTCCTATATTGGGGTTGTTTTGTTTTTTTCTTTGAGCGCTTTTTGCTATAGCACGTGTGCCATGCACTCGCCAGAAAGACAGACAGAAACAGACAGACAGTAAAAAATCACCCCCCACGGGGGATGGCCATGCCGCACTCCCTTCTCCATTCTCCTTTTGAGAGCTTGGGTATGCACGTACAGGCACCCAGAGTGAGTTTAAGCCACCGCATCCGGGACTTGAACTGTGCACTCCCTTCTCCATTCTCCTTTTGAGAGCTTGGGTATGCACGTACAGGCACCCAGAGTGAGTTTAAGCCACCGCATCCGGGACTTGAACTGTGGTCGACTACATGGAAGTCCAGCGACATAGCCATTACGCCAACTGCTGGTCCTGCTATATTGGGATTTTTAATTAATCTTAATATCTACATTTGACTATGTTTATACTCAGGCCCTGTTGAGATCCCTCTGTTCTATGAGTTTCACAGTGTTACAATGTATTGCTAATGGATCTTAGTGTACAACCAGAAGGGAACTAAGCTAGGGGGGTCAGCTCCAGGGTTCTGCCACTTCACCGTGGCCCATGCTGTTGCAAGATGACTTTCGCAATGATATCCAGGTTCTTGGTGTTTTGAACAAAGAATTGAACAAAATGTGCCCATAGTGAAAGGAAAAGATAGTTTATGAAGTCAAAGTGAAAGTACACTTCTGAGCAGTAAGAGTGGGCCTGAGTGGACAGAAAAAGTGACTCAAAGGCCCAGGCAGTTATATTCTACAAGGTTTATAATTTTCAAATCTGGATCATGTTGGTTGATTATGGGCTGGGCCCACTGACCTCATCTCATTGGCTCTGTCAAACGTGGCAGGGCCCACTGCTTTCTCATTGGCTCTATTTTTTGCCTGGGGAATTTTCTGCCCTGATCAGTTTTTTATCTAGCCACATGTGCAGATGCTCCAGCCTCCTTTCCACTCCCATTTTCTAGCTTTCTACTGCATCAATGTTTTGTCTAGAGATCTGCAAATCCTGGAGAAGGATCTCCATAGGCAGACCCCAGATGCAGTGTTGGAGTTGTACTATAACATTTGGACACTTCTTTCTCCCATTCCCCATCCTTTAAAAATCATGGCAGATGGGACCAGCAGTTAGCATAATGGCTATGTCGCTGGATTCCCATGTAGTCAACCACGGTTCAAGTCCCAGACCTGGTGGCTTAAACTCACACTGGACGTGTATATGTGCGTCCAAGATTCTGAGAGGAGAATGGAGAAGAAGGTATTGTGGCATGGTCATCCCCCCGGGGGTTGATTTCTCATTCTCTTAGTCTCTGTCTTTCTGGTGAGCACACATGCCCTATAGCAAAAACCTCTAAAAAAAAAAAGGCAAATGAAAACTATTTAAAAGATGGCAAACCAGCCAGGGACAGGGCGGGCAGGGTGGCTAGATCACAGCCAGCTATGTGGTTAGTCCTAGATGGACTCAGTGGCTTGAAATACAAACTGGGAACATGCATTGCCAAAAATCCTTACAGGAGAAAAGTGGAGAAGGGATGCAAGATGACCATCCCCCGTGGGGTGTGCTTTCTCAGTTTCCCTCTCTCTCTGCCTCTTTCCAGTAGGCACATGCATCCTCTAGCAAATGAGACTAACTAAATAAATGAAGATGGCAATTTATCAATTACCCTTTGAAATTTAACATGGTGCACCTTCACTATGCTTATCAGAGACTGATCGATCCTAACTTGCCCGAAGAAATGACAATTTTCCACAAATGGCAACAATATGAAAAATAGATTACTTGTGTGTGTGTGTGTGTGTGTGTGTTTGTTGCAAACCTGAGTCCTCTTCCTTCCATTATTGCAGCATATAAAATGTAAGGAACAGGAAAGGGGTTGGTAATGCTTTCAGTGAGAGCAAGATGAATTTAAGATGAAGCAACAGCACTTCAGCTAATCTTCCAGCAATTCTACTCTTCCACACCATAAGAGTGGAGGATTCTCCTTAGACAGTGAATTCAAGGGCATGACGATTATACTGAATTAGTTGTTGAATTTAAATGAGTTATTGAAAGCTGAAAAATAGTCTTAGGCCATGATCGTAACCCTATCTCATCATAGCAAAGTTTGCTGTTGGGGTAAGTTATTTTGTACTGGATAGGTAAAATGGGGGTCATATCTCTCACACCTTGAGATACCTACTTTGAGCCCGTTTCTGCTGGAAGCAAACACAGCAAGATGGATACCTGCTTAACTTGCCTCATCTCTACCATCTGAGGTACTCAGAGCAGCATTTGGCTTCTAAACCTCAGAGACATCAGAGCTTTGCTCTCTGAGATTGCCGTGCAGTAATTCTAAACAAAAGAGGTAGGCTACAGTCGTTAAATGACAGAAAATACAAAGTCCAGGGAAGCTGTCTGGCTGAGAAAACTGAGTTCAAATCCTTAGCAAGTGGTAGGGCACTTGCTAGATGTGTGACTTCAGGAGTCACTGACTCTGGGAGGTGGTTTCTCCATCGTGTACAATGTGGCTCTTCTTGTGAGGATTAACACGGGGGCATACAGCAGGCATTTAAAACGTGTTAGTTCTACGTCTACAGGTTCCCCCTGTTCTAGGCCAGTCTTGTTAACTAGCATGTGCTGCTCATTTGTATCGTTACTTGCTGTCTTGTCTGTCTCTTAGAAAAACCGTAGGGTGAGGGGGGTTAATTTTTGTTCATTCCTGTATGCCAGGGCCTAGAATAACTTTTGCCACCCAGGAAATAATTATTTTATTTAATTTTTTATGACGAGTTTAAGAATGACTTTTAACTACCATTACACGATGATGTTAATTTCTTGGAAGTGTTTTTTCTTATTTATTCCACAAGTATAAATTATTTACATGATTCATAGTATTGCTGATCTTAGATATGGAAGAAACAGCAGAGAAAATGTCATACATGTGCTTTTAAAATTTCTTATTTTTTTTTTTCGGGTTGGGAGAAGTGAAACAAAAAGGTGATTCTGCTATGATGTTAACAGCGTAGAGATGAAGGTGGGTGGGAATTCTGTATTAGGGAGCGTGCAGGTGGGAGTCTTACCAGGACGCGCAGGAAATCCAAGGTATTTTCAGACTCCAGACCTAGGCTGGTTTGGTAAGTGGCGAAGGAAGAACAGCGAGGATATTTTCTTGAAAGATCTCCTGATGCAACTGTGCCTACAGCTTTCATGACAGCACCCAGGGGGAGCTTTCTGCCGCAGACTCCCACGATCTCCATTAGTTCCCAGTCCCTGGGCTCAGGGAAAGCGCCGAGGTCTAGGGGCCCAGGGCAGCGCGGCCCAGGCACGGGCGGAGGGTGAACTCTGGACCTGAGGGCAGGCTGCGGGCTCTCACCCATTCACCTGGCCACCGCGGAGTCGCACGCCCACGCCCGCATTCCGCTCGGCCCCGGCAGCTGCAGGTGCTGCGCGGCCACTGCAAACACTGCCTGGGGTCCGGGGGCCGGCCACAGAGCTGCAGGAGGAGGGTCCGGGGAGCGGCGAGAGCGCGGGAGGAGGGAGGCCAGGGAGGTGGGACGTCTTCCCGCACGGGGGCGCTGTCACCTGCCCAGGGGAGGAGCCAGAGAGGAACCTGGGTTTCTAGTCTCCAGGCACTGACGCAGAACCCATCCTGACCATGAAGGGTGCCAAAGGCATTGAGAACCCGGCTTTCGTCCCCTCCAGCCCAGACACCCCGCGTCACTTGTCCGCATCGCCCTCCCAGGTCGAAGTCTCTGCCTTCTCCTCCGACACCCAGAGAGAGCAGCCTCAGGAACCCCAGAAGTCGCCGGAGCCCCAGGAACCACCTCTGCCTTCAGCAACTCTTCCTGCCCCCCATGAGCTTCCAGGGCCACAGTCACTGTCTGAGTCCGAGGAGGGTCCTTGTGGATGGAGGACCTTCCACCCGCGGTGTCTCCAGCGCTGCAACACGCCGCAAGGCTATCTGCTTCACTACTGCCTCTTGGCCCTCACGCAAGGTAACTTCCAGTACCCGCTCCAGGGCGACCCGGGGGGCGCCTGGAGTTGCTGCGCGGGACAGGGCAGGTGCAAGGTGGCGCGGGACGGTGGGTGGGGGGGTGCAAGCGACCCCGGGCTTGAGAATGCACGCGCTAGCACCGACGTCAGCCACCTAGGGCCAGGCTCCCACACTTCAGCGTCTTTTTAATTGCACCATTTAAAACTGGCTCTGCGAGGTTTTTCTTTTTTTTGCGTTTTCCCTCAGTTGTACCTGTTCAATCCCTCCAGGGAAGACTCTTATTTGGGAAGTACACGCGCTGGAGGAGTGCATTGTACAACAAAGCAGCATAGGTCCATTTTACTGAGTCCCATATTAAAGGGATTAGAAAAAACTTAGTTTCGGGACCCGCAGTTAGCAATGGCTATGTCGCTGGACTCCCATGTAGTCAACTGAGGTTCGAGTCCCGGACCTGGTGGCTTAAACCCTCACCGGGTGCGTGCGCGTGCATGCCTAGGCTCGGGAAAAGAGAATGGAGGAGAAGGGATTGCGGTGTGGCCATCCCCCCTAGGGGGTGATTTCTCATTTTTCTATCTCTGTCTCTGTCTCTCTGGCCAGCACAGGCACCCTAAAGCAAAAACTTCTCCAAAAACAAACCAAAAAAAAAGAAAAAAGAAAAAAAAAAACTTAGTGTCTGTAGCAGCAAGAATAATTTTCAGGTGAGGGTAGGACGCTTCAGAGGAGAAAGCTATATAAGAGTCTGTAGCGTGGATATAAAGCATTCTTGTTTTGTGAGTATGTTTAGTGAAGAGCACGTGGACACAGGAGACCAGAGGGCAAATTAGGGAAAGCTCCAGGCGTTTGTGGAAGGACGAGAATGAGCCATCCAGTCACACAGGAATCATCCAGTATCTGTTTTGTTCTAAGATCTCTTTTAGGTTCACTGGGGAGTTACAGATTAGGTCTAGGTTTATACTCTTGGGAGTTTGCAATCCAAGCAGAGTTTGAAGGCGTGAGTGATATGCAGGAAGGATGGCTTCCTTGAAAGAAAGCATAGGGAATGGGACCAGCAGATGCTTAACAGTTATGTCGCTGGACTCCCACATAGTAGACACTGGTTCAAGTCCCTGACCCAGTGACTAAAAGCTCATCCCATGAGAGGAGAGGAGAATGGAGAAGGGATTGTGATGTGACCATTCTTGCTGTCTCTCTGGCGAGCACACATACTTTATACCAACAATCTCTTTATCTCTCTATCATCTATCTAGAGAGAACCTACATGTGGTGTGGTCTTCTCACACAGAGGATGGAAAGTTATCCTAAGGACAAATTGAGGAGAGTGGGTATAAGATGAAGTATATTGAAAGACATGTAAGGTTAGTTTGAATTTGGTATGTAGGTATGTTTTCTTCACTTGAGTCTAGTCTCAAAATATTTTCTAAGTAGTCGCTCAGGATTGATTGGAAGAAACGTAACCAAGAAATATTTGGAGAGAGAGAGTAAAATTATTTTTAAAGTTATACAAAAGCAAGTGAAAGTTTATATTTCCAGTTCTTTTTAGAGGTTTTTGCTATAGGGTGCATGCGCTCACCAAACAGACAAAGAGAGACAGAGAAAGTGAGAAATCACCCCCCAGGGGGGATGGCCACGCCGCAATCCCTTCTCCATTCTCCTCTCAGGATCTTGGGCACGCACGCACACGTGCCCGGCGTGAGTTTAAGCCACCGGGTCCGGGACACAAACCGTGGTCGACTACGTGTGAGTCCAGCGACATAGCCATTACGCTAACTGCTAGTTCCTATATTTCCAGTTCTTATTCCTTTCCCCCTCTCCAAGGAGCTCTGTGTCCCTGCTTACCACGTGTTAGGTGCTAGTAACCCCTCACTGACTGCAAGTCAACTGCAGCTCTTCTATTGGGGGTCGATTGTGCTAAAGTTATTTCTTTTTCCACCTCTCTTGTCCCCAAAGTTCTCTTTCCATCAATGATAGTTGTTCAAACTCAGTGAAGCATCTCTGTGTTAAAGGAATGTGAAATTGAAAAGGTGGGCACAAAAAGATTTACAAAGGTACTTTTTCAGAGAGAAGTTTGACTATGAAAACAATGATTTCTAATGACTGATTCTTAATTAGTATGGCAGGTATGTTAAGTTGATTTTGGATGGGGAGATTTTTATATTAATTTTATCTCCTTAAAAACTCATTCCTAGGTTTTACATGGAAAGCTCAGGAGTTATGAATTGGATTATAGTCTTATTAAACGGGCATAAAAGTAAAGATTACATTAGTGTTTTTGAAACTTACTCTATCAATTTTCTTGAAATATATATATAAAGGTTTTTGCCACAGGGAACTTAACGCTCGCTGGAGAAATAGCGAGAGGGAAAGTGAGAAATCACCCTGGGGGATGACGAGCATGCCTCAATCCCTTCTCATCCATTCTCTTGGGATTTTGGGCATGCATGCACATGTGCCTGGCATGATTTTCAAACCTTCAGGTCTGGGACTCAAACTATGGGTGGCTAAGTGGGAGTCCAGCACTTTAACCACTATACTACCTGCTGGCCCCTTAAAATATATTCTTAATTACTGTCATCATGGGTCCGGCAGATGGCATGCTGGTTAAGGGTGCTGGACCCCCACATGGCCGACTGCAGTTCGAGTCCTGGACCTGGCAGTTTGCTTTCTCACTTTGCAACTCTCTCTTTCTCTCCTTCTGTCCCTCTCTGTCAAATTTAAGCAAATAAATAAAGCTACATAAAGTAATTTTAAAAATTACTGTCTTTCTAAAGAAAAATTTAAAAATCATCAAGACCGTGGCTTGTATATATTTATGTTAATTAATGAATTAAAATAAGTCATAACACCTTGAAACCTTGCTTTCTCATTTTCCCTCTCTCTCTCACTCTGTCCCTCTCTGATCAATTGAGATAAATAAATAAATAAATAAAATAAAGTTGAATAAAATAATTTTAAAAATTAAATTTAGAGGGAACCAGCAGTTAGCGTAATGGCTATGTCGCTGGACTCCCACGTAGTTGACCGCGGTTCACATCCCAGACCCGGTGGCTTAAAACTCACGCCGGGCGCGTGTGCGTGCGTGCCCAAGATCCCGAGAGGAGAATGGAGAAGGGATTGCAGTGTGACCATTCCCCCCGGGGGGTGATTTCTCGCTTTCTGTCTCTATGTCTCTCTGTCTGTCTGGCGAGCGCATGTGCCCTATAGCAAAAATCTCTCTCAAAAAAAAATTAAATTTAGAGTTCTAGTGGTTAAAATGTGACTCATGTTTATTTTTGTTTCGGGACCTTTTAAAAAACCTTAAAATGTATAAGTGTGTTAGAACAACGAAGAGATTAGAGGGCAGTTTCCCACTTAAGACTAAGTCTAGGTGATCTCTTATAAATAAATACGTTTAAGGATTTAGTAATGTGGGAAGCAGTTGATCTGCTTGGTCTATGGGGGGGTATCTTGTGACTTTTTTAATTTTCTGAGTGCATGGAAGTAGGCTACTTATAGTTTCCAGCAAAATTATTTCTTGGGACTTTTGCAGAATTTTTGTTTTGTCACTAGGGAAAATTGAATTATGTCCAGTTAACATACTTTAGTATTTGACAAACTATGCCTTTTTTTTTTTTTTTTGAGAGGTTTTTGCTATATGGCATGTGCGCTCACCAGAGAGAGAAAGAGAGCTCACCAGAGAGAGAAAGAGAGATAGAAAGTGAGATATCACCCCCTGGTGGGATTGCCACACTGCAATCCCTTCTCCTCCTGGGATTCTGGGCGTGCATGCATATGTGCCTGGCATGAGTTGTTTTTTTTTTCTTTTTTTTTTTTTTGAGAGATTTTTGCTATAGGGCGCGTGTGCTCATCAGACAGAGAGAGAAAGAGACAGAAAGCGAGAAATCACCCCCCCCAGGGGGGATTGCCACGCTGCAATCCCTTCTCCATTCTCCTCTTGGGATCTTGGGCACGCACACACACGCGCCCAGTATGAGTTTAATCCGGGTCCAGGACTCGAACCGCGGTCGACTACATGGGAGTCCAGCGACATAGCCATTACGCTAACTGCTGGTCCCAACCCGCCGTGAGGTGAGTTTTAAGGCCAACAGGTCCAGAACTCGAACCTCAGTCGATTACATGGGAGTTCAGCGACATAGCCATTATGCTAACTGCTGGTCCCTACAAACTGTGCTTGCTTTGTTGAACACCTGAAAATTTGTAAGTGTAAAATGTAAAAGCAAACTGATGTGAAGGAAGTATGTTTGGATTGCCGGACTTTGAAACTTTGAGATTTAAAAATCGACACAGCTTAAAATATCAAAACAAACAGGGACCAGCAGGTGGTATAGTGGTTGAGGTGCTGGACTCCCACATGGCTGACTGCAGTTTGAATCCTGGACCTGGAGGCTTGGTTTGCTTTCTCACTTTCTCTCTCTGTCCCTCTCTGGTCGAATTAAAAGTGAATAAATAAAATAAAATAAAATAATTATTAAAAAAATCAAAACAAACAAACCCCCCAAAAACCCATATATAACTTTAGTATATTGTGTCACTAATCCTGATTTACATGGTAAAGTTGTAATAATGCACCTACATGTGTTTTCTCTTTTAGGCATTGTAGTGAATGGCCTGGTAAATGTTAGCATCTCCACTATTGAGAAGCGCTATGAAATGAAGAGCTCCCTGACGGGCCTGATCTCCTCCAGCTATGATATCTCCTTCTGCGTGCTGTCTTTATTTGTATCGTTCTTTGGAGAGAGAGGCCATAAGCCGAGGTGGCTTGCCTTCGCTTCCTTTATGATAGGACTGGGAGCACTTGTATTTTCATTGCCGCAGTTTTTCAGTGGAAAATATCAGTTGGGATCCCTTTTTGAAGGTAAGCCTCTTCAGTGTTTTTGTATATGTTAATCCAGAGAAGCACTATGAAACTAGGTCCTTAGGTCTTTCACAGTTCACTCGTTCAAAGGTTAAGGGTTTATGTCTCTTCCTCTGTTGATTGCTCTCTTCGTTTTGTGAATTGTGTGGAGGAGATTATAGGGATGAACTGTACCTTATTCATCGCTCCAGTGGTTCTCTGGGGTTTTAATCCTCAGATTCTCATTCCCCGTGGTATATACAATTCTCCTCAAAGAGAGCTGATTTACTTTGCTTTGCAGGTGTGGTGACCCCCTAGGGTTCTGAGGTCTGTAGTTTTCTCCTTTGTACTTTTATTTGTGGTATTTACAACTTTGCACCCTGGACATTAATTTCTGCTTTGAGATAAGGAGAGATGATATTGATAGGAGTGGAGCTTTTCATAAAAACTAAAACTAGTTCTACTTTTGGCTTCAGCTTAGAGATAGAACTGGAGCAACCTGTAGTGTTTCTTTGAAGCTGTTCTGTTTAGATGAGAAAATTCCTTATTCCAAGTCTCACATGAAAAATTTGATTATATATTTGTTTTCAAAGAACCATTTTTAATGGATAAACAGTAGAGCCAGAGGAATGTGCTAATGAAAGTAGACCTTAATATTCTTACATCCTTCCTGGGCATCTTAATAGCAGATATTGAAATTATTTGGAAAAATTTCAGATGGTTACAAATTCAGAAGTTTTCGGGGGTTAAATGAAGGAAAGTCTTAGAGTGAGAAAAAAGATAATTAGGGCTTGCCGTACTGTAGGCATTATTTATAAACATGTAAGATTATTGTATTTGTGTGTTAATATTGAACATTAATGTCTAAATGTTAGTCTTTCCCAAGACTAAGATCACCGTCATACAATGACAGCAGGTAGGAAAGTATTCTCAGTAACAAAGTATATATTAATGTGGCATGGCTTGAGGAGTGCACTTATTAAATACGTAGACCTCATTTTGGAAGTAAAAATAGAATACGCGAGTAGATAGAGGAATAGAGGGTATTTTAAGAATGTGGTACAGTTTGAAATAAATAAGACAAAGAGACCATGTTATCAGTGGAGAGAGCACTTAGGGAGTTCCTAGTGTATTATCCAAAATTGGACAAGATTGCACAAGGCCAATTTGACCTGATTTTGCTGTCAGTAGTTTAGGCAGCAGGCACGTTACAGTATAGGCCATGGTGTAACACCCTTGAAATAGCAATAGTAAAGGAAAGTCTAAATTTTAAGTTGCTATGCAACTAGAAGTGGTACTCATTCTGTGTCGTGAAAATGCTGTTGTGTTTATAGGATTTAGATCCTAATCTTCTCTACCCCATCTAGGCCTTCACCTTCCTGGTTTATCAGATGCCCTTCTCCTTACAATGGACAAACCTTGCTCAAATGTCTTACGCTAAACTGAAACATACACACCTATCCCAGTACAAAAGCCTGATGTATCTTCAGCTATTTCAGCTTCGTTTTGCCATATACCCCTGCAGTTACAGCCAGTCTGAACAATGTATATTTCCCAAAGGGAAATGGCTACAGATGTGTGTGTTTGTGGCTGAAGCAGGAAGATTGCTGAAGATTGCAGATCATAAACTTGTAGAACATGACTACGTCCTGCACAGGATTGTCAAATTCTTATTGATCTGATTAACATTTTATGATTTGAGTAGATCAGATTGAATAGAGTCTTAAAATACAGTCTGCTGGCCTGTAAAGTTTTACTCTAGATAAGACTCATAATTTATATGATAGCTTATCTGCAGCAAACCAACGCAGAGCCTCAGGTTGCCCTTCTGTTCTTCTGCCTCTCACACTATAAGTAAGTATTGCTATGGACTATACACATGGACTGAGATAACAGCAATAAAACATTTTCATGCTTGTGGATTTTATATGGTAGAGGGAGGGAATACAAAATGAGTGAACAAATGAACAGGATAATCGAAGATGTAGGAAAGTGGATGAGGGGGACAAATATTATGAAGTGATAGAATATGGATGGTATGTGGGCCAAGAAAATGGGAATAACTCAATAACTAGTTATGTTTTCTCTCAAAATGACTCTTCTCAACAAACATGACTTAGGCCCTTGGAGCAGGGAAGAATGTGGTAAGTTTCAGTCTGGCCAGCTTGAGCACAGCAAGGGTGATGATGGCATGAGGTGATCTTGGTGACAGGTAGCTGCCAGTGAGGCGTTTAGATTTCACTTCAAGTTAATTCAAAGTGACAGAGTTTTCCACAGGGAAGTGCATCATCTCTTTAAAAAAATTTTTATTTAATCATTCATTCTCCAAAATAAAACTTTTTTTTCCCCATTTCTAGTTTTCTCTTTTTTTCTTTTTTAAGATCTTCCTCGGGGTGAGTGTGCTTGCCAGAGAGAGAGAGAGAGAGATAGAGAAGGAAAGTGAGAATCACCCCATGGGGAGATGGCCATGCCATAGTCCCTTGTTTTCCATTTTCCTCTTGGGATTTTGGACATGCATATGCATGTGCCCAGCATGATTTTCATTTTCCTTTCTCTCTTTCTTTCTTTTTTTTTTTTTAGAAGTTTTTGCCTTAGGGTGCTTGCCAGGGAGAGAGGCAGAAACAGTGAGAGGGAAAATGAGAAATTGCTCCTTGGGAACAACCTCTTCTCCATTCTTTCCTGGGATCTTGGTCAGGCACACACACCCAGAATGAGTTTCAAGTCACCAGATCTGGGACTTGAACTGTAGTCATCCATGTGGGAGTCCAATGAAGTAACCACCACACTGTGGTTGATCATGTGGAAGTCTAGCAATGTAACCACTATGACATCTGTTGACCCCATGCATCATTTTTCACAATTCCTAAGACAAATAGCTAACCTAAGTGTCCAAAAACTGATGAGTGGGTGGAAACACCATGGCACATATGGAACATTACTCAGCCATAAGGAACAATGAGATCTTATTGTTTGTTTCAAAGTGGGTGAATATAAACAACTTAATGTTGAGGGAGTGAGCGAGACTCTGAAAGACACACACTGTATATCCCCACATAATATAGGTTGAATGTCTGCACTCCATGGCAGAGATGGAAAGATTGAAGATACACTAGTAAGAAGTGTAGATACCAGAGACTGTAAGGAAGGGAAGTAGGTGATAGAGGGAAGCACATAATCTTATTTATGTTTTAAAATGGTCTTTTTGGCTTTTGTGGTTCTGAGAGATAAGAGTAAGTGGGAAGAAGTCATGTAGGAGTTTTAACTATAGCCAAGGTGAGGAATAAAGGCTGCTCAGAAAAGAGTGGTAGCAGTAAAGATCAGAAGAGTGCTGATTTTCAATGTATGTTAGAATAAAAAGAAATTGGAGGTCTCATTGAATTATTGGGAAGGAGGGATGATTAATGACTTGTATTTGTGTTAGCTCACTGGGGACATTTACTAGAATGCAAAGATGAGATAGAACAGAATTGGGACTGGAAATCAAAGAATGTGGTTTGGGTGGGCCAGCTGGTGGTACGGTGGTTAAAGTGGCTGGATACTCCATGGCTGACTATGCAGATTGAGTCTGGGACATGGCGACTTGAAAACGTGTAAGGTATATGTGTGTATGTGTGTGTCCCCAAAATCCCAAGAGGAGAGTGGAGAAGAAGGAATTGCAGTGTGGCCATCTTCCTTGGTTGGAGGTAGGGTGGGCTTTTTCCACTTACCCTCTTTCTCTAGAGAAAGTGTGCACTATGTATCAAATTTATAAAAAAAAGTAGAGAATAAAACAGAATTTAAATGGAAATGGTATAACAAATTAGTTTACCACTTCCTGTAAATAAATTAGAAGCATTGGAATGTACAGTCTTACATAACATAATGTAACAGCATTAACGAGTGTAACATTAAGAAATCATTTTATTAATTGGAATCATACATGTGATTTTATTTGAAGTGGACCTTGAGGAAATGTACCCTTGTATGTGTGTGTGTGCACGTGTTTTGTTATTGTTGCTATTGTTTTCTGAACTTGAAGAAAACCAAAGTCAGGGCTCACTTTGGGTGAGATAATCTCTATAAGAGGAGCTTAAGGTAATGTAATAGAAAGTAGAAGAAAACCAAATATGAAATATGATAAGCATATATAATTTCTCCAGGTATGAGAATAACACAAAAGGAGATTAAAAGTTAGCAAAAGGAAGAAAGGTGTGTTTGGAAAGTGTTTGAATTTTCGAGTATTTTGCAGATGATATATTTTAAAAGGTTTGGAAGAAAGCATTTATTTATTTTGGAGAGGTTTTTTGCTTTAGGATGCGTGCGCTCTCCAGAAAGACAGAAAGATAGAGAGACAGGCAGTGAGAAATCACCCCCGGGGGGGATGGCCATGCTGCAATCCCTTCTCCTCCATTCTCCTCTCAGGATCTTGGGCACGCACGCACACATGCCCAGCGTGATTTTGAGCCATCGGGTTTGGGATTCGAACCGCAGTTGACTACATGGGAGTCCAGCGACACAGCCATTATGCCAACTGCTGGTTTCCCCAGCAGAATTTTGACACTGATCCTCCTCCAGCTTCAGCCAGCCCAGAATGACAGGCATATGTACGTCCAGAGTGTTCAGGGAGGTCTCTGGATGAGAATCCAGAACCTTCTCATGTTGGTCACCCTCAAATAGCATTGTTACTACTGCAGTGCTGTCTAGTTCTACAGCTTTTATGGAGACATAAATGTTAGAGGTGATTATCTAACTTAGAATGGAGATGGCAGTATTTATCAAAGGGTAGATTTAGTTGTTGAAGGATACACAAAAGAAATATTAAAATCAATAGAAACAATATATATATATTTTTTTTTCTGGAGAGGTTTTTTCGCTATAGGGCCCGTGCGCTCACCAGACAGAGACATAGAGACAGAAAGCACAAAATCACCCCCCAGAGGGGATGGTCACGCCGCAATCCCTTCTCCTCCATTCTTCTCTCGGGATCTTGGGCACGCACGCACACGCGCCCGGCGTGAGTCTTAAGCCACCGGGTCCGGGAC